ACTGCGAGTTTGAATGTCCCAGTCCGAACGCACTTCATTTGGCGGCGGTCCCAATGAGTCGTACTCAGTCAAAACCTCAACTCGAGAAAAATGCGAAAAACAGTTTTGGTTAATGAAACACTGTAGATTTGCTGCATTATTATAAATATACACTAACAATGGCCAAAAATATTAACCTCTGATATCATAGAACTCATAAAGAGTGTCAGATAATGAATAATTTCATGCTTGAGCGTGACAAATGAAGAAAACTGCAGGAACGTTCGGGTTTCCATTGTTATGCAAACGCACAACGAGGGATAATCCTCTGACAAACATTACTGTCCCACTGTACACGCTGACAGTTTACAAACAAGCTAATCCTTCAAGTGTCTCTGATAATGAGATCTAATAAAACGGTTTTCATGGTGAAACAAAATGGTCGATGTTTGAAAAAAATTTCTGTTTCAGACTGCAACACTGAGTGGCAGATTTTTCTTTGCCTCGTCTGTCAACGCTTTCTTTTCTTCGCCATTGCGTTATAAAAAATGGTATTAGTAAAATAGATAATTGACTTGGAAAATAAAACGATTTAAAAGAATCTTAGTTAAAGAAATTAAAAATGCGATTAAGAAATTAAATAAATAACAGATCGCCTTGTGAGGATGAGTTTTGTAATGAAATGTTTAAATATGGGAAATATTGCATTATTGAAGCTCTACACAAGTTGTTCAACAAAATTTATGACTGGAAAATTTTCCAAATCCTGGAACACATGTCGTACTGTTCCAATAAACAAATCTAGCTCAAAATATAACCATGATAATTACAGAGGAATTGCAGTATCTAACTGTCCAGGTAAAATTCTTACTATTCTTACTTAGTTTAAAAACTGTTAATACTTTTATCAAAATAGTTGAAAGGTGTCAGGAAAAACTAAATATTCATTAGATATCAATTGAATGGAAAAGAAAAAAAAGCTTAGTGCATGTTTTATTGACTTGAGTAAAGCATTTGACAGTGTCTGCCACAATGGCCTCTATTTATAACAAATGGATTTTCTGACAAAATATATAACCATTCCACTTCTTAGTTGGAGTCCAGCAAGATTGCAATATTAGTCCCACTTTGTTCAATATACACTTGAATAACCTTCCAGACTGCTTTAATAATTTAGTTTGTACACAACAAAATGGTGCCTTCAAATAAATATTGATAAAACACATGTTATTATTTTTAATAAATCAAATAGGACTTTAAATAGCAAAACCTTCTTCTTTGAAGGAAAGGAAATTATCTTGTTCTAATTATTAGTATAAACAGTAGATTTAAAGAAGGCACAATCAAAATAAATAGGAAAGGACAAATAATTATGCTTCTTTTTAAAAACAAATTTAATAAAAAAAAAATACACTTCTGATGTCACTATTTGATAAGCTTATAAGACTAGTTATTACAAATGAAGAGAATGGGTTTGTTGTGTTGATAGTAAGCAACAAACTTATTCCCTTCTCTAAATATTTATAAATTTCTTAATTCAAACTGAGACAAGATGTTTCTATACAATGTAGGCTGATGGAATAACATTGGAACATTTTCATATTACTTTCATTGACAATCAAAGGAATGGGTTTGTGGTTGTGGTAGTAATCCTTACATGATTTGACATCCATAACATTACACTGTTGTACACATTCCACACATTGACATTTTCTCATTCTACTGTAATGTGATACACAAAATCACAAGAAGTCGCAAGATGAAGGTTTCACAAGAAGCAAAACCCTCATCAGCATTATGGAGAAACACTAAATTACTAGTTATCTTTATTTTGATTGAATATCTGATCTCAACCTTTTTTAATCTAAAAATTTCTCATCAGGTACCAAAGATAAAGTTTTCTGAGTTTTTGTCAGATGGCAGTCCAGTGACGGATAAAAGTTTTGATGACGAATTTGCGGACTTATCTAATAAAGAGAATACCAAAGACTGTTCACCAAAATATACATCATACTTAACAGCTGTAGAACCACGGACACCCACAGTGATAGATAGAAAATGTCTGCTAAAATCACCAGATTCTAACATCATCGTCGTCAGTAGCGATGCTGATGATGAAGATTCTAGTGATGATGATGTATTTATGGTACCTCTGCGAGAGAGAATGCAGACACAGACTTGCCCTCCCAATGTTAATAAATCTGTGTTTTCCCTTGGTAAACATCTGAAGAATGGAATTCTGAATCCAGACACTGAGAGTAAAAAGAAATCCAACAAGTAAATATAATCCTTATTTTAGACAAAATAATGGACTCTGATTTTCCCTTGATTTAAAATTGTATTCCCACTTTGCAAATCTGCAAAGCATCACTCCCACAATAAGCTAAAAACATAGAAATGATATCCTGCTCTCACTATCCCACCTATTTTATTTTAAGAGTACTGGGGTACATAATCTAGGAGATAAGCAGAGCGGTTGTCACCTGTGCATGTGGGGGAATTTAATCCTAAGCTCAGACCACTAATAAACAGACTGGCAATGCGAGTATTTCTTTTGATCTAACATGTGTCTCAAGTTTACTTTACGATAACGTTTTAATCTTATAAAGAACTGGGGGGATTTAAAAAATGTCAACGAAATTGCACGATAATGCACAACTTCGCTAGAAACTATGGTGTTTCAACAGGAAGTGACACGAAAGGTCAGACCAAGGTTTCATATTTTCCCTTACGTTGGTGATTCTCGAGGGCCCACAGACATTCATAAAACAGGTCCGGGTAAAAATAAATCCAAAAGTATAAAATTCTGTTGCAGGTCAAACTGAATAGCATTAGAAATAAATCAAGTGAAAGTAAGTATTGAGCATTCTCTCGATCCGATGTTCCTACACACATACGGTATATACAAAATCAAAACATCGTATCACTACTATTTTGAGACCCTTATATTAATTTTGCCACAATAAAGTTGACTGGTACAGTTTTTGGGCCTGGTGTATCATATTTTCAAAGGCTTTTTAATTCATGATCAGCGAAATATAATAACATAAGACCAGTTTTGTTGTAAACATGGCAACAGGAACAATCCTAGAAAAATCTTTCCTTTTTCCTCATTATACATTCAAGAACTTTACTATAAAGACTATACATTCAAATAATTGTTACTTTCCTAAAATATGGTCAATTTTGGCTATAAAATATATTATTCTGCAACTTGACAGAAAACTCTCATTTCCGGGTAATCTGGTCTGAACTGAATACAGAAAATGGCTGAAATGCACGCGAGACAGAGTATTCTGGATGTGTGTATTCGGAAAAATTCAGGGATTTGCCGGGGATTAGACCGATTGACACCTCTAAACAATAGCAGTGATGATAGCAACACATGCTAAAAATCCAAAGGCTCATGGGTAGAAGCTTGTTTGTAAAAAACGTCATTCTATGACTGTCCCCCGCATGCGCAGGTGATGACGAGTAATTTTTCATTACCCATCCACAATTTTAACGTTTGATGGTGTATATGTTCATCAGGGGATGGTAGCACACAATTGTGAATTTAACTTTTGCGGACCTTCTAGTAACGCTGTTCTAGTTCATTCTAGTCTACAGTCGATTTCATGATTCATGGGTAATGAGCATTACCAAATTCCCTCCACTTGCCAATAAAGTCATATTTTTTGAATTTTAAAGAATTATGAATCTTCCAGACCTTGTCTAGATTATATTTTTATTGAAAGTGGCCACAGTTCACATCCTGTTTCTAGCTGCTTGCTAGACAAATTCTTCACATGAACCTCTCATGAACATGTTGTGTTTTATAAAAATATCATTTACATTTATGCCCTGGATTAACAGTATAAACCAACATGACCAGATATATCGTGTTGAAGACAATTACAAACTTTTCTGTTTTCAGTTACTGTAAAATACTTTATTTTAGCTAGAATTAATTTTTGCTGAGAAGGCTTTTTGGGTGTTTTGTATGGAGTTTATTTTCACTGATTTTTGATGAGTTGAATGTGTGAAATATAAGGAAAGAAGTATATCGCTAAATTTTATTTTCACCGAAGCCTCATTCCTTCAGCGAAAATAAATTCCAAGCGGAAATAAAGTATTTTACAGTACCACAGTATACTAGTTATTTTATTGTTATGGATACCATGTCTTGAAAGGGAATTAAATGCTGCAATATATGTACACTCTGAATATTTAATTAAATATCATTTCTGTTTATTTTGTCATATTTTTAATTAATATTTCAATTGTTGTGAATACAGTGCCACTGTGCATGTTGGTTTATATTGCTATATGAAAGTCAAATGTTCATAATACATGATAGTGTGCATGTACAGGTCAACTCCTTCATATGAAGATTTTGTCTGTGTTGATAGAAACATGAAGTCAGTACCCACCAATGTCCATTTTCTAGTTTGGTCGTGAAGAATACAATGTTAACATGCAAAATCTAGGCAAATTATGACTTGTAAGCCAACATTCTTGACAGCTAGCAAAACAGCTATATCGTTGTGTACTCACAGTTGCTATTGAGATTTTAGAAAACCAAAGTTGTTCTTATATAGATAAAAACATTTTTGGCAAAATACATATCACAGTACATGGAGAAAATGCAAAAGTGTTTATTTGATTTTTGAAAAGAAAAAAAAAGATTCTAAAAGATTCTAGTATGGCTTATTGTGACCATCATTGTGTAAAAATATTTCTATTTATAGATCTCACAGCTACAGAAACCCCAAACCTTCATATATAGATGTCAGCAGTGATGACGATGAAGATTTTGAACTGTGTAAGTTACAAAGATGAACATTATGCAGATTGAATTTTGTGAACAATAACAAAAGCTGACTTTAGCACTCAAAGAATTACGAGATTACAAAATCTTACTAAAAATAGAACTGATGTAATCATAGATCAAAAGATGATATTTTAACCCATTTGCATAACTTTGCTTTGATTTTTTGGTGATTTGTTGTGAATCCCAAAAAAATTAATTGCATGAAACATAGATATTAAAAATATATTTCAATGCCACATCAGTTGTAAATACATCTATCACTATTTTAGTTTTTGTTTGTTTGAATCAAACGTCTTGTGAATAATTAATCACATGACATGATGTTCAGTGATGTCATTCAAAATAGATACCGGTAGTATTAGATGAAGTTTTCTCCCCAAAGTCTTTTTTTTTTACATTTGTTGATGAGCAGATTTTGTATGCTAAATTAAACCCTTCATGGGTAACATACAAACATGCTTAAGCCGCTGAGCACCAGAATGTTTCCCGCCAAATTTTGGTGCCACATTTTAAACGTTTTTATGTGTATTTGTTAATCTTGATCAAAATAAGAAAGAAATTACGTGTTTTTGTGAATAGGGACAAATACTGGATTTGAAAGTTAAATTTTCATTTGTCACCCCAAACTAAAGGAGCAATATTTTTACCATAATATTTTAAAATTGTTAAGACCTTTTTATTAAAAGTTGTGTCCATTTGGTTCAAATCAACAAAGAAATTATATAAAAGTATGTAAATAAAAAGTCAAGTTCATATACAAATTAATTCATCATGTATGTTTAATTGCAGTGCTATCTCGACTGAAGACACCAAAGAAAACCATCCATTTCTCAGATTCATCTGCTGTGCCATCAAAGTTAGTAGAATATTTGTGTTAAATCTTTATCCCATCTATGATGAGAAAATGTTTTACTTCTTGTCCCTGGGAAAAATGGTGTGGTTTTAAAATTATTTAATTTCTCAACAACAAGATCTATTCACATGCTTTTAAATACACTTTCACTATTTATTAAAGCAGAGGAGTCATTGCCTGCACATGCGGTAGAGCATGTAACTGTTTACAAATGAGTGTCTACATATGAATCGTTCATTTGTAGCGCATGTTCAGGTGACGACCCTCTGCTTTGTACATGTACTTCTACTTATTCTACTATATATGGTACACTGCTACATATATATGCAAAATTGCAAGACAAACTTTTGAGATGCAAGTTTTCAAATACCAGTAATCATGCAATGACAAGAGGCAAAACCATTTTTTCAGCTTTCATCTTTTCATATATTAGGATTCATTGACATTTTCTGTAATCTGAACCCAAAACCATTATTTCACACAATTCTGGGTTAAATTTTTAACTTTGTTATGCTCTAGTTTGACATTGAATTGTTAATGAAAAATGAACATTAAAAACTATCTTTCAGTCATGAATTTTATTCAAGTTCAAGAATTTATGTTGTTTAAAGTTGCCTATAACCGTATTGTATACTTTGGACTATAACATAATGGATAATATGAATATACATGTATGCAAATTATGGGAGATATTCAAGGATTCAGTCGGATTCAAAATAGGCAAATTTTTTATAGGCAAACATTAGCTAATTAAACTTAAACACTAGTAAATCGAAAGATAAAATGGTTTTCAACATCCCCCTAAAAAATCATTAGAAATTGTGCATATTTCCCTCAAATTTAGAAAAACGCTCCTTATGAAAAATTACTGCCTTCAAAACATTTTGGTATATAGAAAAAAATTAGAGCCAATCGGCTAATTTGTGAATACACACAATTGTTGGAATAAAACTTCATAATTATAAATTAATAGCCATCTATCATCTAAAAATCATCTTCATAAATGCAGCAGTCACTCATACATCACACAATTATACAATGTACATTTATGATAATTTTTTCCATGTTCTGTACAGAGGCACCAAAAGATTTACACCAAAACAGTCTGGTAAACCTGCAGGTACCAGTAAACCAGTGAAAACCAATCAGACTACCAATTCTGTACACATAGGTATGCATCTATCATTACTGTAGAAATATTAATTATTCAATAGGAATCACCTTATTTTGATATTCTGAGCACATTCACTGGATTTGAAACAATCAGTTTTATTGTTATAAGTTCACATGGGTTTATTTTCATCGTTTTCTCTAAATTAAAACCCATTGAATAACTAATGTTCTACAGTATACAAGTTTGTTTTGAGAAAAAGTATTTTTGCCATTTTCTCAATTTCGTTAATTCACAAAGTCACTGATTGAGACATTTGTACATTTCATTCTTATTGCAGTCTATTTTTAGATTTATATGTAATTTTAAAATATCTGGAAACACAGATACAAAAGTGATCATGGTTGAACATGGTAGATTATTTACTGTTACCGCCATTGTTCCAAACAACCAAACATCAACATTGCCAGCTAAGTTGCTGACTGGTTTGTTAAGCGCGTCTCGAGATCGTTGCGTGATTAGAACTGGTTAGTTCAAAACACTTTTATGAGGGTGCACTGTTTGACTATGATGACATGCACCATCACCTGTGTCCAGGCATTTCATACTGTGTAAAACATAACTTTGGCATTTAGTATATAGAAATGTATGAGATTAAATAAATATACTGAAAAGCAATCACATCATGATCTTCTATTTATACTCCGATGTGTCTGAGTCCCCCACTAGTAGTTTGACGTCTCCTGTTCTTGTTCTAATTGCATAACGATCTCCAAGCGCACTTAGCAAACCAGTCAGCAACATAGCTGACAATGTTGCTGCATTGGTGTTTGGAACAATATGGTGGTGACAGTAACGACTATAGACATGTGTTCATAACTATCATGGTCATGATCAGAGAGTTGTTTTAACCATGGTCTACCTTGATAGACTATGGCTACTCATTGGCCGGGGTGAAGGAAGTTTGTATGATCTGTCTATCTAATAAGAAAATAAGTGTTCACTCAATAAGATTAATCTGATGAAATTGATCATGACCAATTTTCAAAAATCTGATAAAATATATTTTGCAGTTTACACAAAATGAGTTATGTAATTTGGTCAGTTCTTGAGATATATTCTGATACCGAAAAAAATTATTTAAGAAATTAAATGTTTGTTTTTGGTTGCATTTCATGGGTGTTAAGAGCCAATCAAAAAGGAAACAGCGGATGGAAATTTCTTATCATCTTTGGCGGATTCTCAAAGTCAGAAGTCAAGTTCTATTTACATCAGGGAGTTTAGAAAGAATCGAGATGAGCTGACGCAGCGGCTGTTCTCTCTTTACAATAGAACAGTTTTCAAAGATAAGGTAGGTTTGCAAAAAGTGATTACATTATCCATTATTGTCTAAATTTTATTTAGGTGACAGTTTCTAAATGATCATCTTGTTTATTCTGATAGGTGATTTGAAAACATATACTATTGTGATCACACTTTATAAAATGTTTAATCTATGAGGATTTATTCCTGGAAAAGTGATTAATTTTAAAATTTTAACAAATCAGACAATGATCAAAACTGTTATAATCAGTTAGCTGGCAATGTTAATGTTTCCCTGTACAAAACATTATAGTGAAGAAAATAATTTTGGAGAATATGTCTATAATTATGAACCTAAAAAAAGCTTACTGTTTCTTTTTATCATTGTAGTTGCCTAGCGATATGAAAATCACTTGGAATCCAAAAATGCGAAAGACGGCAGGATTCTGTTACTATGGCAGAATACGAAATGTGAATGGTATCGAAAAAACATCTAGAGTAGAGTTAGCTGATAAAGTATGCGACTCTGCAGGTAATCTGGAAGTTTAAAAAAGTTTGTCAAATTAAAACCACTTACACTGAGTCCAAGAAAGTCTTTGAAGGAATAGAAAACATGTGTGTTACAACAACTGTGCTCTCTAAGCTAATATGACGTGCCATGACACTCAGAGATTTACTGTGACACAACTAAGTATGCTACTCACTTGTGCATCATTCACCCATCGGCAAATCATACATTGGTATAGAAAAACATCTTTAACTATACCAGGAGTTAAAAAAAAATTTAATTTTGTAAAACAATATTCACATTTCATAAACAAAATAGGTGTAAAAACAAAGGAAATCAGAGTTCACAACAATTTAGTTTTTGCCTCGAGTCATCTACACAGTCACAAACAATTTTATTTTTTTAAAGACCTCTTTCTTTTACAATCTGACTCAACTTGATTTAGGGGGGGTTCCATTTTGACTTGGAATTCCTACAAAATCAGTCATGTTAGAGGGCACATGTACTCTATAACTAGTTTACATGTTGTTCACCTTAGATGGTTTTCACTGTACAGTATTTGCTCTAATATGCTTTAGATAATGACAGGTATATCTATGGCTGAAATAAGTTATAGAATATAATACATGTACATTTATTATTTACCAGGGTAGTCAGATTTATCTTTGCTTGTCATCATATCAACTGCAATATAAAGACCTTCCAATTAAGATTTAATGAATTTCCATTAAAGTGTCAGAATATCTATTACACATGTATTCTATTATCTCAATTATAATTTATATATTCCTATCGGTAGTGGTGGTGGTATACCTGTATGTGGTCTGAAAGGGTGGTGTTCAACGCACAGCTTGTGTTTGAATTTTAACAAACAATGTGTTTTACACACTATGAGTCCTATGTCGAACGGGACATGGCGTGACAACCCTTACCCTTCAATTAATTAGTATTCTTCTCAATATTTTGACAGAGAGACTACGTGATACGTTAATACACGAATTATGTCATGCGGCCGCATGGTTAGTGAATGGCGTCCATGATGGACACGGCAGATACTGGAAATATTGGTAATCTTCTTATACTTCAGCAACTCACTGGACCCTAAAATGCAAAATTTTGTTAAATGTGAACATACATTTTGTACTTATGTTAGTTTTAATTACAGTGCCATATTATTCACATTTCTGTCAAAATATCTTTCAATCTGGAACATTTACCAGTACCTCTTCCCTATTCACAACAGAAATAATTTTTCTAATACCGGTACTAGGTAATACTACAATACTATCTGGTATTCATTCTTTGTTGATCTTGTTGACATAAGTGATGTCATGGGATAGTATTATCCATGAACCAAAGAAGAATGGATAATACCATGACACCATAAGTATCAACCTGCTCTGCGAAAATTGGTAATAACCTTTTTGTCAATGCCAATATTTAAAGCAATTACACTCAAAAATCTTAAAATACAACATAATTTGATGTGACATGTACACGCGACACTAAATTTTCAGTTGTCATTATAATCACAGTAATAAAAACGTGTGACAAATCTCATTATGTGGTTTTCACCACTTACAGTTCAAGCACACCAAAAACTGACGATGTTTAGACACATCACCACATTTAGTGTGAAATATTTCACCCACTACTGCCGAAAAGACTCCACGGTCTGCAAAAATGAATGGGAAGGTAAAATAAGGAGTATTCATGCTCACACCATTTATTTCATATTTCAGGGCAAGTCTTGCAAATTTGATTCACCCCCAGTTACCAATTATTAGTCGATGTCATACATATGAAATACACACCAAATTTACATATCAATGTGTCAAATGTGGATATCAGTAAGTATATACTACTTCTTTTGTTGACATTATGATGAACATTATAGTAATTGTTGACATTATGTTCAAAGTAATAGTATTTGTTGACATTATGTTTAACATAGCAGTAATTGTTGGCATTATGTTTAACATTATAGTATTTGTTGACATTATAGTGAACATTATAGTAATTGTTGACATTATGTTCAACGTAATAGTATTTGTTGACATTATGTTTTACATAATTGTTGGCATTATGTTTAACATTATAGTATTTGTTGACATTATGTTTTACATAATTGTTGGCATTATGTTTAACATTATAGTATTTGTTGACATTATAGTGAACATTATAGTATTTGTTGACATTATGTTTTACATAATTGTTGGCATTATGTTTAACATTATAGTATTTGTTGACATTATGTTTTACATAATTGTTGGCATTATGTTTAACATTCTATTAGTTGATGTTATCCTGAGTGGTACTTACTCATGTTTTATGTCCAACATTATTGTTGATGATGATGATTATGAACAATATTACATTTAGTACTTGTTTGCTCAACATTAGTATTTACATTGTGATTATGTTCAACAATTGTTGTACTCTTATCATTCCAGGATTGGCAGGCATTCCAAGTCTCTGAAAACTGATAAATTTTGCTGTGGTATCTGTAAAGGACGCTTTGAGTTGCTACCTCAATTGAAAAAAGATGGTACCCCAGCCAAGACAAAAACACCAAACAAATTTGCTATTTTTGTGAAAGATAACTATTCAACTGTGAAGTCCAAGGACAAGACAATGAAACATGCGGACATAATGAAAGTTTTAAGTGCTGAGTTTGCCTCAAAAGCCAAAATATCAACTTCTTGAGTTAGAGTTTTAATAAATCATTGTTTCTAATTTCACTGAAATAATACACCATTGGAGTACATAATCATCACAAATCAAGAAAGTTTAAATAACTTATAGAGAAAGTATAACAAATTTAAATGGAGTGGTCGATGCCTCGTGTTCGATATGGAACCCATAACACACAGCTTTACAATAACAGCTCTTTTTAATTACACACTGTATTGTAAAACAAAATTGCAGCAAGAAATTCCAAAAAAAACGGTGGCTTTTTCAAAAGATGTACTGGATTCTGTGGTCACATTCCAGATCTTGCCTGTTTCCAAACATAACATCAGTACTATCAATGTTAGTTCTACCAACCTGCTTCCATCAATACCCACTTTCAAGTGGTGGATCCACAGAGAAAAAACTTAAACTTACATCTGATGCAATTGTTTTTTAATTACTATGTAAAAAATCTACTTCAAATACAAGAACCTAAAAATTATTAAGTTACGGCATATGTGCCTTTAACTCACATTAAGAATTCATGCATATTTATTGCAATGTAACGTCAAATGAATACTGTTCTGTATACAACGAACAAAGTTGGTATTTGTATATGTATATCCTGGAATTCTATATGCTGTATTTGCTCTATTAAAAGACATTATTAAACAAAAATGATTGAAATATCACTTATTTTAACAACAGAAACACGTCTGTAATTTGTGCAAGTGTATGTGCTACTAATGGAGCAACTACGGTGTTAATGTTTTATATCAGCAGGAGTAGCTCTCGCAAATATTGAGGACGGTACTTGTACAATTATGCATAATAAATGAGATGTATTAATATTATTGGATATTGTATTTTTGTGTAACAGTTATTTATCCAATAAAAATCATTAAAATCTGTTGTGTGACCTTAGAATGTTAATTTTAACCTCTTATAAATATTTTTTTTGGTAAAATTTCAACTTTTATAAAAGCCTGCTGTGATGCTTGTTCCAGTTTAAAATATGTGTATTTAGTCACTAGATGTTCAGAAAATTGTGTAATAATGCTCTAAAATTCTTTTCCTTTCTTACATTTTTACAATATTTTGGCAAAAAAGTGGTGCAAAATTTGTGTAGCAGGGAATAATAGGATCCTTGAAGACGAGGTAACAAATTTCGTCTTTGCAAACGCCATTTCTATAAAAGCATTCATTTTCACTGATATTTTTTTCAATATTTTGAGCATAATCACTAGGTATTCACAGATTTTTCAGTGAAATCACAAGTAATTTTGTACCTGTACATGTTCTCATGGATTTTATTTAACGGCTTTCACTTATCAGTGAAAATGGCCAAATTAAAATCCAGTGAATATCAAAGTTGTACATGTCAAGTATTATTTGTACTGTTGTACAACAAACACAGTATTTGCAAGATATCCGTCTTACCAATAGCCGAACATCACGAAGCAGTCAAATGTATTCGATTGTGTTAGAGTTTTCAGTATAGGGTGTCGTAAATTGCATGCAAGTTTGGCAATCAAAGATGGACCAAATTAAAAAATTTATATTTGATGTGAAAGTTTTCATTAAGACTTGTGAGATGTACACCCAGACCCTTTAGTTTTTTTCCTACATAGCCATTATAATTTATATAACCGCTATTAAGGTATGCAGAAATTGTAGCGTGGTGTAACAGTTTGGGCATTTATGATTGAATGTTTTTTTTATCATGACATCTCTATTAAAAAACGAAAGTGATTTTAATTGAATTGTGCTGGGTAGAGGGCGTTGTCTTATCAACGTATAGACCAATTTCCCGGAAGTAGCAATAATCGGGTGCAAAAATATTCCTGCTTTGTCGTGGCGGAAAATACAAACATGTCAGTTTACTGATAGTCGATAGAAAATTATTTTATTTTTGTTGCCTCAATTGGTACATCAAGAAGCACAATATCACGCGTGCAAGTTAACGTTACACCCCAATTTCGCATGCGCACGCATGCCATATCTTCGACTTCTGGGAAAGTCGGCTATATAAATAGCGTGCTATTGTAAAAATATGCAAACTTTTGTTAGAACTACAGGAGTGTGTACAAAAGTGCCAAATAATGCGAGTATATCAAATATTTAACCATTAGCATGTTCTTTGTAGATTGCTTTGTCAGCCGGCAAAAACTTGAACTACAACCAAGAATATACTACAATACTCAATAGGGAAAAACTGCTCTGTTCCTCAATTATATCAATTATATTGATACTGTGATCACGGTTAGTTTTTTAGTAACCATGATTGACATGTGGAACCTCCATTGATTCAGTTATATTAATTATCATAGCTATAAAAAACAAAACAAAAATAGCAGGAATATTGAACACTAAAATCCTTACAAGTAAATAGGGGAATTTCGTCTCTATAGTGAGTAATGCAAATACATGTATATATCCTTCCCGGGAAAGGCTAGACTGGAAAAATCGCGACTTGTATTTTGTTATAATGTTAATTTAAAATTACAGTTTTTTTTATAGTTTTTTCGCTTTACGGTCTTTTTTCGGGCTGTTGCTTAAAGTTCTATGGCGTAAAGTAATTCCTGTTTAAACACGAGTAAACGTGACTTTTAAATACTGAACTCAAAATTGTAGACCGGCTTCCATACTCTTGCGTTTACACGCGGTTGCTTGGGATTTAATTACTACATCTTTTAATCCGACAAGAATTTGTTTTTTCTTACATCAATAATTTGTATTTTTCGGAGAGACTGAACATTTTTTAAACAAGCCCAGGAAGAAAGAGTTTTGAATTTTGACATAAAATGAAATGTACGGCGGTCACCGTCGGGAGTCGCCTTTGTCAATTTCGAGGATATGTCCATTTCATAAAATTACCCCCCCCCCCCCAACGCACACACACAATTGCATATCGACATGTGTTGAAATTCTGTCTTTGTGAAAATAACTCGCATCCTTGTACAATAATAGATCATTATTTAGCTAATTGATAATCAGTTTAATAATAATAAAATTGTTAACATTATATTTTGCGAGACTAATAAAATGGCATATTTCCGAAGAAAAACAAGAGTGTCTCTTGTTTTCCGTATCACCATTGTCTACTGTTGTTTACGAGCGATATTTCCAGAGAAAATTCGAGTGTTGTTTCATGTTTTCCATCGTCTATTGTTGTTTACGTCATCTAGACAACACTTCCTGGATTTGGAAGGAACGAGCCGATTTTACGACACATGGCCCACACATGGAAACCACAACACTTCCGATATCAACAACGAGGCGCGCGTTACGTTTGTGTGGGACGGTAGCGCATGCGTGATTTGCCTGAGTAAGGTCAAGATGGCGACTGTTTTCACAGTTACATGACTGTATGGGGAATACTACGATAAAACCTCGAAATCGAGAGGACACGTATGATATCAGCCATGGCTGAACCTAGGAGAATTATACCGACATCTGCCTGGGAACCGCCAAAGAAAGAAAAGGAGAAGAGGACAGAACCAACGCTGCGTTTTAACGTAACTTTGACAGAGTCCAATCCTGGAACCTGTCCGGAGTTTTCATATGCGGACTTGCTGAAAAACGCCCTGGTAAGACCTTGACGTCTCTAATTTTCACTAAATATACACGATAAAAAATGGACATTTTTCACTCTTTTTAAAGCACATTTGTATCCCTTCTTGTCGACTTTATTACACAGTTTTTGGCAGCTCAATATCGGCATGTCATTTTCGAGTTTCGGCTCTGTTGGATTGCGTGTAAAAAACGATAAAATGGGGGCAATTGGCAGTCAAACTAAGCTTTTTTCAACCCTTTCTAAATCGTGTATTGTTAGCGAGGGTTTCGTGTGCAAACTGACATTATATTCAGTTTACAAATGTGGACGCCATGATGGATTCTGATGTTCTGTGAGCCTAGACTTTGCGCCAGTGCCGTCAAACTTCTTATAGTGTCCAACTTTTTTCTTTTGTTAAAAGAAACTCTGTGGCGTTTTAATAAAACATTTTGATAGTGGGACTCGCTTTATTTCGGATTGAATCTAAGATTGATTAATTGACGACATGTGCCTAGTCAATGGCGGAGCATCTCGATGTGCACGTTCGTTGCGAGGTAGTGTCACCGTGGTGGCAAATGCGTGTATCGGTGATTGCCATTTTTCGACAGATGCTCGAAAAGTTGAACTGAAAGCTTATATATCAACAACAACAAGACAATAAAATTATATATATATAATAATAATAATCGAAGTAAATTTTAAAAATAACACTAGATAATGTTTTCTCGCGTTAATTAATCAGCATCAGACTCGACATGTATATCTTGGGTGAACAAATGCAATAATTTCTCTATTATTATTATTATTGTTGTTTTATCGCTGTGCGTGCAGTAGGTTTTTAATTGTCTAATTTTTAATTCATTACATATATTATTTTTTTCACTGGTTTTAGTGAGTTTAGTTTGTTCTTTGTTTCTATGACAAAATATTGTGAATTTCTTTGATTTTGTCATTTATTTTAGTATACTCAGTGACATTACACATTATATAAATGCTCTGTTTTTTCGTAATTGTTTTTGTTGATTGATATATAAGAACAGATGGTACTAGTGATGTTGCTATGGTAACTCATAATCTTTACTTATTTTACTTTAAAACTAAGTAAAACATAATTAGGGCAAATTTTTCACATTGAAATGTGACATTGACTCTGCCATGCTTATATTGTTAAGAATGTCTTAATTAATTTTGATTAGCAAATCTTTTTTAATCAATTATTTTTTTTTTTTAATGTTTTTATCTTAATTAAACCTTGTTATGATTCATTGGTTTCAGTGTATACTAGGTGTTAGTAGTAGTCTGACCATCTTTAATTACACAACACAGAAGTGCAATGATTATGCAGGGTCTATATAGTGCAGGAAGTTTGGCACGATTTGAGGTTTCAAACATTGTTAAAATTATAATTCTTAGTAAGATTATTCAAAATGGTGGAGTTTATTCACCAGACACCTCATCATCCAATCATAATGCATGCAGCAAGAACCAGCAAATGTTTTAAGCTGTGTTATAGACGAGCATTGTAACCACCTCTTTTATCTGTTATACTATACTATAATATCAGTTCTATGTATTCTGTATGGTATACTTTTTGGGCCAACATATCGTTGAATTTAGCCTCTGCTAAGGTTCATTGATGTGACTTCACAAATTAATGTTAGACTTGATATTTTCGCAAAATGGGAGAATTTATTATTTGATGTTGGAATAAAACATAATCTCATCATATCCATTTTAGTGAAAGGCATGCATTTATTTTTAGCCATTTTTCCTTAGTTATGACTCGGCGCTTCCAAATTAAGACCAAAATAACATTTTGAAACCTACAGATAGAACGAGAATGTGCCAAGGAAAACAAATTGTTGGAAATAAAAACAAATCAAATTAACTATTTTGAACTATAATCAGTACATGAAATATGGTATGATCAGATAATTTGTGTGAAAACTCCTTCTCATCCATTGCAAAGTGTTCAGAAATGAGAGGCTGCGTCAATCTATCTTGATGTTGATGGCTAATGTCATTTTCCAGATTAAATATGGAGCAAATAGACTTTTGGGATTTAGAATTCAGTGGGGAAAAAACTGAAGTCAAATCAAGTGCACATAATATAGGTATTATTACTGTGGCTGGAATGCAATGGTTATTTTGCAAGCGGAACACGGTAGATGGGTCTACATTTCAAATGGTTGAACTCAAAAAAACTCTTTTATAATTGCTATTCAAGAGAATATTTTTTTTTATTGACATAAGCATCTCTTAGATGAGGTGGAAAACAAATTCCGAACCCCCCTTCTCCAATATGTTTTTATTAAATAAAAAGTTGGAGGACCCTACTTACTTGTAAATGAGATGTTAGAGGATCTTGCATATAAATTAGTAGGAAACCACACATATAAATTATAACCTGGGGGACCCTATAAATGTACATCAGAAATTGGGGGGACCTTACTCATAAATCAGAAGTTAGGGGACACTACATGTAAATCAGAAGTTAGGGGACACTACATGTAAATCAGAAGTTAGGGGCACTACATTTAAATTAGAAGTTAGGGGCACTACATGTAAATCAGAAGTTAGGGGGCACTACATGTAAATTAGAAGTTAGGGGCACTACATTTAAATTAGAAGTTAGGGGCACTACATGTAAATCAGAAGTTAGGGGGCACTACATGTAAATCAGAAGTTAGGGGCACTACATTTAAATTAGAAGTTAGGGGCACTACATGTAAATCAGAAGTTAGGGGGCACTACATGTAAATCAGAAGTTAGGGGCACTACATTTAAATTAGAAGTTAGGGGCACTACATGTAAATCAGAAGTTAGGGGCACTACATTTAACTTAGAAGTAAGGTGACACTACATGTAAATGAGGTACTGTTAGCAGCTTTTAAGTTCGCAAGAGATTATCATGAATAAATTAAGAGTCTGGGAAATGCACAAAATATTAAAACAATGAAGATTTAACTGGATTTTTCAGCAGTGTACGTTTTAATGGTTTACAGTGATTTTGTTTAACAAGTGTATTCTTTTACTTATTGTGGTAGAATAAAGCGATAAATGGGAAGAATAACCCTGATACAGTGTTTATGGACTGTGATGAAGAAGACATAGAAGGTTTACAAGCCATTGCACGAAGATTTGAAGCAAAATATGTAAGTTACTTTGTATTTACCCATCGTTCATTTCTACAATTTTGACAAATTTATCCTCAAGGTACCTAATATATGCACCATGTGGTACATAGCTAGTTTGTATCATATAGTAATTGTAGACTTAGTATAGAAATAAATATGCTTGCTCCAACTTGCAACTACCGTGAATGTAACTGACAAAGTCTCCCAACTCAGGGATTGTCTAATGTTTATAAATCTAACTAAATTAAGGAGCATATCTTCATATTCTGCCGCTAATTTCTCATTAGTCATCCTCAGTCTCAGCATTAGATGGTGTGTATATTTGTTAGGGGATGCAATTTTAACCAATCACTTAGTGTCCTTAACATTTAACCCAAACAAACATTGTGGGTCTTTTATGTATTGATATGCTCTTCTGATACAGTAACAAGTTTTAGCAAATAACAGTAACAAGTACCATTGACAAATTGTTGGTGTCAAAATAGTGTGATCACAGTCATACAAACCGATTGCCCTTGATTACAAATGGATCAATAGAAAACTAAAAACTAACTAATTATTATGTAAATTAGATAATTAATATGAACAGATTTTTACCCCAAACTAATAAGGTGCATTGTCCTGGACTATCTATGTACTAAGGTTCATTAAAATGTGATGATTACTTGAAACATCAGTGGAGAAGTAAAAAATAGATTAATTATTATGCAAAATTGGATAATTATTATGAACAGATTTTGACCCAAAACTAATCAGGTTTGTACATTGTCCTAGAGCATCTATGTACCAAGGTTCATTAAAATATGACAATTACTTGAACTATCACTGAAAAAGCTGAAAATAGATTATTTATAATGCAAAAATTAGGACATTAACATGCATGGATCAAAACTGATCAGGTCTGTATCTATATCTGTATAGGCCATTTTGTTTTTCATTATACCTTATCTTTGACGTTCTCTTATAGACTGTCACTAATAAAATGAAACTTTCAACAGATAGATATGGCAGTAGTTATGTTATATTATAATATAATTTTTTTTATTCAAGAATACACACTTCTGTAATGTTAAAATGTGAAAAATAATACATTTAGATGTATAGCAAAATGTCAATTATGTAAATATCAGCTTCAACGCCTGTCACTTGTCACAAAATAAATTCCTGCATAATATTTTCAATCTGTAGGCAATAACAAAATATGTACATTTGGGCCACAATTTTTAAAGAAAAATGCGTAAAAATTTGCAAATTGTATGAGCCTTTATCTTGGCAGGCGTTCAGTCATTGGTTCCAAGGATGCAACTCTGTGGACCGAGGCTTCAGTCATTGGTTCCAAGGATGCAACTCTGTGGACCGAGGCGTTCAGTCATTGGTTCCCAGGATGCAACTCTGTGGACCTAGGCGTTCAGTCATTGGTTCCAATGATGCAGCTCTGTGGACCGAGGCGTTCAGTCATTGGTTCCCAGAATGCAACTCTGTGGACCGAGACGTTCAGTCATTGGTTCCAAGGATGCAACTCTGTGGACCGAGGCATTCAGTCATTGGTTCCAAGGATGCAACTCTGTGGACCGAAGTGTTCAATCATTGGTTCACAGGATGCAACTCTGTGGACCTAGGCGTTCAGTCATTGGTTCCCAGGATGCAACTCTGTGGACCTAGGCGTTCAGTCATTGGTTCCAATGATGCAGCTCTGTGGACCGAGGCGTTCAGTCATTGGTTCCCAGGATGCAACTCTGTGGACCGAGGCGTTCAGTCATTGGTTCCCAGGATGCAACTCTGTGGACCGAGGCGTTCAGTCATTGGTTCTAAAGATGCAACTCTGTGGACCGAGGTGTTCAGTCATTGGTTCACAGGATGCAACTCTGTGGACCGAGGCGTTCAGTCATTGGTTCCAAGGATGCAACTCTGTGGACCGAGGCATTCAGTCATTGGTTCCCAGGATGCAACTCTGTGGACCGAGGCGTTCAGTCATTGATTCCAAGGATGCAACTCTGTGGACCGAAGTGTTCAGTCATTGGTTCACAGGATGCAACTCTGTGGACCGAGGCGTTCAGTCATTGGTTCCCAGGATGCAACTCTGTGGACCTAGGCGTTCAGTCATTGGTTCCCAGGATGCAACTCTGTGGACCTAGGCGTTCAGTCATTGGTTCACAGGATGCAACTCTGTGGACCGAGGCGTTCAGTCATTGGTTCCCAGGATGCAACTCTGTGGACCTAGGCGTTCAGTCATTAGTTCCAAGAATGCAACTCTGTGGACCGAGGTGTTCAGTCATTGGTTCCAAGGATGCAACTCTGTGGACAGTGCATGCTATTCTACTGTAATTTAACACATTACAGCAAATACAAATGTGAAAACAAACTTGACTGACATCAAACACCATTAATTAGTATTAATTAATAAAATATATGAAATAATCTCCTGTAATAATTTAAGTAAGTTTTCTTCAGTTTGTTTTCATAGCTTCTTATTCTCGTTAACTGCAGTAACTTAACCTTCTATCTGGTCTGTCTTGTCTCACAGCTGGCTGCTTTCACAATATATGACCATAACCATGGTAACCTGATCACCTATGCACCTTTATTACTTAGATTTATAGTTACATACTTAAATGTCACTTCTCAATGTGGCTGTTTAAATCTATGTCCAAATCACCCAAATTGGTTCAGTAGTTAAAAAAAAAAATGTAAAATCTAATTTTAAGATTTCCAAATTGGAAAGAGCAGTGAAAATTGGCAGAAATTGTGGTTGTCTTTTTGTCTCTAGTCTGTGCAGAACACAAATTAGCACTAATGTGTGTATATTTTGCAATGACCTTCAGTAGTGCAGACCTGTACTGCTCTACATGCAACAGGCACAAATAATGATGCATTGGGGATAAAATATCATTACAGTCAATTTAACAAGTGACTTACTAGATTGGCTGAAAACCTGACCAACTGGCCAACCAGGAAAGGCCTTACTTGGATAATGGTTTTGTTGGCGAATCAGATACAAGTTTATATCAGTACTTGGACTCGTTTATTGACATATTGTTATATTTGGTGAAAATATGAACTTAGAACTACGTAGCAGTACGTGAAATATGTTAGGTAATCGTGATATTTTATTCACACGACACAAATAAATATTAATTGCCGGTAACTTGCAATAAAATTGTGGATGCAGTGCTCCCTAAAATAGTAGCACTAAATACTGTAAATGCATTAATTATTCACTGGGTTTTAATTACACTAGCTTCATTCAGACTGCTTTACAGCAAATACCAAAAAAAGGTGTTAGCAAGAGGGATTATTGTTGTTGCGTTCAGACAAAAACAAGACCATAAATGTAAATGAGCCGAAATCACGATGTGGAAATCACACCCTTAGGAGATTTATTTCTGCGTTAATTAAATGTACATGCATCAATTTTGTTGTTATAATGTAAGAAAAATAAGGTTTGAAGAAATATTGTGAACAATTTTGTTGTTATAATGTAAGAAAAATAAGGTTTGAAGAAATATTGTGAACCAATACAATTTTTTTTTCCGTCAGTACTCACCGGTGCCGAAGGTACGATATGATTCATTCTTTAGAATTTGAAGAATACTGTAGAATACTTCATTTCACTTGGAATTTATTTTTACTATTTTTGCTGAAGGGTTGGTTCAGTGAAAATAAAAACCAGCGAATATACCTTTTTTATATATTTTACGTTCAATAAATACAAACAAAACACCCAAAATGTCTTTTCAGTGAAAATCAATTCTAGCTAAAATATTGTATTTTGCAGTGAATACTAGCAAATAGCAAAATATAGTTTGAATAATTCTCTATTAAAAGAACTATTAAGGTGAAAATGTAACGTGCAAGGAAAAAATTAAAAATTTATTCAAAAGACTGGAACTGGCACTGGAATCAATGAATTTGACGGTAAACAGAAGTATATATAAAAAAAATTATTTTTCTTTTTTCTCATTTTTCTTTTTCATATCTGTTCAGTCATTGAATTCATTGAATCTAGTGCCTATGATTCAATAGACCCAATGGCCATGTCTTGCATTTGTTACCACATTTCATAGTCAGACATTAAGAATGCATTATACTCCAATGTAAATCAAGTAGGATATTGTGCCATTGACCTCAGAATGAGGTAGGCCAAGAGGTCATCAGTGAAACAACACTCCTTTCCAGAGTGCAGTAAAATATAGTTTTTTAGATGGAAACGAGGATTTTTTAAGTTTATATGGAATCTGTTTTTTTTATGAATTCTTGTTAACTTGGATGGACATAACTAAACTTGGTACATTCCCAGGATGGGTGGGTCCATAAAGTGAACACAAACTATTTTTGACTTGTGCCAGAGCATTCAAACCAGGTTTTCTACTTGGTATGTAAAATTACAAGACCCCAAAAATGCATTTTCTTACAATATATAATTATTTTTATCAGGGGCCGAAAACTGGAAAAAAGAAGCGAAAACGAGACCGAATAGAAGATTTAATTGATGCATCATGGGGATACGATGAATCTGATGTTTTTATCGACAACTCCCAAGCTGTAAGTACAAATTCTTTTGCTCCATGTACATCTAATATATTTACACTGCAAGTATGAGATTTGTAAAAAGTCTCATCATTGCGGTACCAATTGGGGTAACAGTGACTTGATGGTCATTTTGAATTGGAACTTGGTTTACACACTACATTGAGGTTCATAACTTAACAGGGAATAGTTGTACAAAAGCTGTACTGGTTTGTCTGTGTCAAAGGTGTGTAGCCGTATCGTTGTACCAACTGATAGAAAAGTAACAATTTAAAGTAAAAATAGAAGAAGGAAATTGAATAAAGGGGGAATTAGTAGAAAAGTGTGAATGTAATCTTGATTTGTGTTTGAATGAAATAGAAAAGTATTATGTATCTATGACTACCTGGGGCTAGTTGTGTGCTGTTGGGAGGTTTGACAATTATCCAACTTGATTCTAGATTAATCTTGCTTGTATTACATGTGTACTAGTAACACCAACCATGACACCAACCATGACACCAAGCAATGAAAGGCATTAGTGCATATTGTATTAATTCATCAGATTTTTTACTGGCATCATGTAGATGCAAGAAATATGATTACCCCTGAAATATGATTGTACCTGAAATATGATTATCCCTGAAATATGATTACCCCTGAAATACAGTACAGTTCTCGCGGAAGCTTTGGCTTCACTTCAGCTTCACCTTCGCTTCAGCATCGCATCATTATGGCATTGTTATGGCTTCAGCATTGCTTCAATGTCGCGACATTAAAAAGTTAGGCGGTTATCGCTTCGCTTCATTGTGGCCTCATTATGGCGACAATGTGGCATCAGCATCGCTTCATCAAACAAAGAAGTACAGAACTCATTTCGCCCAACCTCTCGCCCGCTTCCGCTTTTCAATCGCTCGCTTTTGCGACCGCTTGTTGAATTTCCGCTTTATTTTCGACTGTGCAAAAATTCGGACTACTAACAATTTTCTAGTTTTCATAGATCACGGTTACTAGTTTAGTTACTAGTTTAGTAACCATGCATAGATATTAAACAACCGTCAAATACTTTTTGTTTTAACTATCTATAATTATATGCACGCAATCTGACCCTTTGACCTAGATTTGGCTGGGATTGACTATTTTATTTTGAACAATATTCTGACGTGTCGCACTGCTACAAAATATATTTCAACAGAAGTACGACATGGTTGTCCGGGTTTCTTTTCCTGAGTTTACGATTTGTAAAATTATTGTTATTTCCCCCAAGGAGAACACAAGCCGAAGGACCATGGAGCTAAATAGAAGTCCCACACATGGAGTGAAAGAAAATATTTCTAAGGCTAAAATAAAACCTAATATCTCTTTGTGTATTTGTCAATTTTGCATATATTTGTTGTGACAGTATGTTTGTAAATATCTGGAAAAATCTCGTCTTTCGTTAATAATTTCATTTGTTTGAAATGTCTACCAACCGTGTCTCAATAATTTGTTTGGAATATCGATCCCCGTTGGTTTCTCCAAACGGTCCCGACGTCCATTATTCAACACAATCAGCATTTATTTATCGTAATTCATGGGGATCATGTCCCGTAATTTGCGGGCTGTAAAACCAAATAATTAAACATGTACTATTTATTATATATATTGTTTTTACCTTGTGAAACTACAACACAGCGTAGAGTTGTCGCGGTGAAACAGTCGCCTTGAAATCGATGGAACTTCAATTATCCATTTCTCGCCTTGAAATAAAATTTAAAAAATTCTAAGAGCATCGGGGGATATATTATTAACCAGTCTTACCAATCGCTAGCTTTATTTTATTCAAATCCATAAAATTCACGAGTTTTTCGACATTTGTTGAAAATGTGGGTGTGGTTCTCTCGCAAAGTCCCGTTGATTACTATACGGACAAATATGGTTCTGTGACCCAGGTCGTGCTCCGATCAGGTGACTTTCAGCCAATCAATGATGTTGTAACAAAGCATATTTGACGCTAATTGAAGGGTCGTCGTACTGTCCAATCTCCGGCGTCGATTAACTGTGCTGTGACAGGCTTCACAATCATTCACTGAAAAACATCGGTATATTTTGACAAACGGCTGGGATTTGACCTCAGTTCAAAAAAAGAAAAACTGGGCTGAGATACAAATCAGTTTTGGAAGTTGGGAAATAAGGTAAACCAGATTGGGGTCGATGATATTCAGTATCGAATGACTTCCATGTGTATAATGAGTTTCAATTGTTCGACTGGTCACCAAATATTTACGGCTAAAACTAAATGAACACTTTTTTTCTGAAGCCCAATAAATTATTTCTGCACGTCAAGTGCTATTCGATTTTTTACCAGGCCTGTGGCTCGTTTTATTCGAAAATATTTTTTTGTGAGAATACTTTTAAAGTACGTATAGATCAAGGTCATGTCACTGATTGTGACTTAATTTTGAAAATTGGATGTAAAATTTTACCAGACCGAGGCCACCACAACCATCCAATCATAGTTGGAAATGTACGCACTTGTTTTGGAACTTTGTATCAAAATGGCAGGCGACAACGCCAGGCGGCGTTCGCGTGTTTTGCATGTATTAGTAGTCCGGGCATGGGATCGGACTTGGCTAAAACTAAACGAAACATAGAAAAATACCACCAAAATGAGGAATCTGAATATGTCCTCTTACCAGCAAATAAAATGAACGAAAATAAGGTAATATAACAAGAACAGTTTCATTTCGTATAGCAAATTGTGTTGTATCCGGACGATTGCATCGTGTGATTTAAATTTATCACGTTTTTTCTTGCAGTCAATATGACACTCGTCACCTTGCAGATTGCAATGTACTTCACATTGTTTTTGGTACCCAGTACTCGCAACATTAAATAATTAAACAAGATATCTTTTTAAAATGTGATTTTATACTCTTGGTCATATTATTTTATTCCCCTTACCGCTTTGAATTTCAAATCGATTACATATCGAACTTCTGTACATGTGTTTTTTCTCTACTGCCTTTCCATGTGAAAATAATGAGGTCATACTCATGTCACAATACTTTGAAGCTGATGCCATGTTGATGCCATGAGACTGCGAAGCTGAGGCCACGCTGATGCCACAAAATAAGAGAGGCGAACACAGCTTCAATTTTCAATGACGCGAAGCTGATGCCACAATGATGCGATGCTGAGGCGACAATGAAGCCATGCGTATGCGACAATGAAGCCACAAAAGCCAAAGCTTCCGCGAGAACTGTACTGTATGGTTACACCTGCTATAATAATTTTTACATACGTTTATCTCATTAATATTTACCAATTGTTTGTATGTCTATTTTCACCCTCAGTATGATGAACTTGTACCAGCTGAGTTGACCACAAAATTTGGAGGTTTTTACATTAATTCCGGTCAACTGGAGTTCAGACCGGTATCCAGTTCTGAGGACAGTGACAATGACTTCCAAGATCCAAACAAAAAAAAGAAAGCTTTTAAGGTATTGTTTTTTACAAGAATAAATATCATTTGCTATATTCATGATTTGGGGAAAATTCATTTTGCTTCTTCCCTACTTAGTACCCACAATGCTTTGGTGGTAACCTTGTAAATATTATTGTTCCTCTTTCCTTGGTCTGAAAATTTTATCGAGTCAATTATACTTTTGTGTGTAGCGGGTTAATAAACTGTTAACACTTATCAATCAGTATTCTTGAAGTTACACAACTTGTGACATGACCCAAAATTGGCATATTTATCTTTAATTTACAGATTTTACTATCAGTCATTCATCATATTATAAAATTAAGAAATACAGAAGTTATTTGGGAATTTAACTACTCTTACCGATTTTGAAAGGTTGTTCTCACCACTAAACAAACTTTGTACGACTGAGTTATGCAATTCACTCGTATTTGGGACCGAAATTTGTGCCTCATGTATACACTTGTTTCATTGACTGAATAGTACAAAATCGTACTTATTAAGACATTCAACATCAATTATTGAAGTATATTATTATTGAGAAACCCCAGTTTAAACAAAGTGTTTTCAGACCAGCAAAAGAAAATGTGCTGTGTAAATATCAATTCATTTAGATTACCAAATTTTATAGATTGTTTAAAAATACAACAAATGAAAGGTTACTTTATTGCAGAAAAAAAGGAAGAGCAGTGATGGACTTGAGAAAGAAAGGAAGAGAAAAAACAAAGACAAAGATCCGTTTAAAAAGCCCAGGAAGCAGTTGATGAAAAATGGGTATGGAGTTTTTATGGAGTGTCTGTAAACATTAGCTTTGTTTCATCAACACAAATTGTATTAGTCATTCTACCATGCAGCACTCATTGATTCAATGATATTAATGGCATTTGGAGGAGGAAGAATTTTTCACTACTACAAAATTTCGTGTTTCTGTCAAAAAATTCAAACAATTTACAGTATCATGAATTAGAAGCAGATCATTTATAACACCACATTTGTTGTGGGTCCCATGCGATCTGTAATGCATATTACATTTGATGAGATGAAATTTGCAATGGCTCACACTTGAATTTATTGACATGGCATGGCTTCATTTTACTGTGCCTGTTTCAAGGGTGCCCTTTTCTCAGCAGACATTGTATGGCATGGCTTCATTTTACTGTGCCTGTTTTAAGGATGCCCTATTCTCGGCATACATTGTATGGCATGGCTTCATTTTACTGTGCCTGTTTCAAGGGTGCCCTGTTCTCAGCATACATTGTATGGCATGGCTTCATTTTACCGTGCCTGTTTTAAGGGTGCCCTATTCTCGGCATACATTGTATGGCATGGCTTCATTTTACTGTGCCTGTTTCAAGGGTGCCCTGTTCTCAGCATACATTGTATGGCATGGCTTCATTTTACTGTGCCTGTTTTAAGGGTGCCCGATTCTCAGCATACATTGTATGGCATGGCTTCATTTTACTGTGCCTGTTTTAAGGGTGCCCTATTCTCGGCATACATTGTATGGCATGGCTTCATTTTACTGTGCCTGTTTCAAGGGTGCCCTGTTCTCAGCATACATTGTATGGCATGGCTTCATTTTACTGTGCCTGTTTTAAGGGTGCCCGATTCTCAGCATACATTGTATGGCATGGCTTCATTTTACTGTGCCTGTTTCAAGGGTGCCCTATTCTCAGCAGTTGTGATGCAATTCATTGGTGTTGTAAACTTGTCTTATCTTTTATAATCAATTACAGAAAATTAAAAAAAAATCATTTTGTGAAAACATTGTAGAATATATTTTAGATGGTACACCGTACTGCACACTATAATCTTTAAATATGTTTGAACTACAGCACAAGGATTAAAAAGGGCACAACTCCCACTGTTGCCGAGTTACTACAGAAACAACAGTCGGCTAAAGCCAATAGCAGTGATGGTGATCAAGAACTTAGTGAAGATATGCATAGAAACATCGTCAACAGTATCAACGCTGTTGTGCAAGAAGCCATGGCAGCGGCCACCACCTCAGAGAATAATACAACTGCAGGGAGTGATAGTGATGGGAACACCAACAGTGAAAATGTTGAGGCTGTTCCAAAACTCCCCTCTGGATTATCAAACCAATTAGAAAGCAATATTGATAAGCTGAAATCGGTGAGATGTTTTTTTCTTGCATCTTATTTAGTAACAAGTATAGTAAGTGGTACGTGTTTTTTGCAAGAGAAGTTGTGTCCATGTCCTATGAACTGCATGTTGCTCTTTATGAAACTAATATCTCACCAACTTTCACACAACTATAGGTGTATCAGCAATCTATTGATTATTACAAAGTGAAAACAGAGTGGATGACTGTTGTTGAATTTCAACAGAATATTAAGTGATACGTACAGTATGTATGCAATATCAGGTGCAATGATACGTGTACATGTCTTATAACTTGTCTATTTCTCTCAACAGGCTGCCATGTCTGCAGATGGGAAGTGCAGGTTTTTCACGCCTGATGTCAACAGAACTCTATTACAGTATGTTACATTTTAATATTTTTTGAATTACTCACTGCTGTAATGGTTTTCAGGAACAATTACAATCATAGCACATTATTAGGAGTTAGGAGTTATTTATAATACCGTGGTAAACTTAAATTAAGATGATGTCCTAACTGCAGAACAAGTTTAACATCCATGACACTGAACATTCTCGCGTGTTTTCTTGATAGGTTTTATGATCTATTGTTCAGAATTTTGTTATTTCAACCTGGTCTGTATTTTTAACACAGATATATATACATTAGTATTGCTGACAGTTATTGATTACTTGCAAGGTTCAGTGTAGTTGACAGTTCGTGTGTCATCACTGCTTAATTTTATCATGCATACTTCATAACGTATGCGATGTCCCAAAGAGTTATCAGATGGCGTAATGATATTTGTTTTTTTCTCGTTGCAGAATTGAGAGCCAAGCACGGGAGTTATCCTGCGGATCAAGGTCGTCTGTCTATGGTCACCTTGCGTCACATTTACCCTGTTCTAAAGAAACACTTCTGAAACGAGCCAAGAAACTCAGACTGAATGAGCAAGACAGAATATTGAAAGAACCGTTACAGAAACTAAAAGAAGGTATTTCACTTATTGTCGTTTTTGCGAAAAATTTGTTATTTTCCTTAGACCAATGGGCTTTGTCATATTATTTTGGACTCTTCTATTTTCAAAATAGTATTTAAAGTTCTGAGATTTTGGCCTTTTTGTGAGAAACTGGGTTCACTATGTAGGGAAAGCATGAAAAAACATTTTTGCAATCACTTGTATTGACAATATCCGCCCCATCTCATTCCTAATTTGGTTCTGTCAATGTTAATAATAGGCTTTTCTCTCTTTAATTATACTGAAAGGTAAAACTGTTAATAAATCTGTTACAACTCTGTAGTTCTGTAACATGGAAATAGCAACAATTGCGTGTCTATGAAAACAGGATATATGATATTATTGATATATTTCCAAGGCAACAGCTGTTGTTCAGACTAATCTCAAATTAAATGTGGTCCAATTGTTTTGACTTCATTGTGATTTGAAATTCAGTGAAACATTCTCTTTAATAATAGCCGCCATTTAGCTGACCATTATGAATTCTTGTATAGTTGACCTTGACGTTTTTCAAATGAATGGTCATTGTTATGGTTAGTGTCCGATCTTAATAAATATGAGTAGTGTGTAATGTGTCAAATGAAATGTCTGAAAATATTTCATATTTCAAATAAAGCAGTTTCAAAAGTCAAAATATCATTTATTGTTGTTATGACGACAGTTCTGGGTAACAACCACAATTTTTATGTTGCAGCTGTCTCTGTCTACCTAGAAAATACTGTGTTGATAACCTAAAAATGAGGTGTAAAATTGTTTTCCAATTTTTTCACAATTTGAAATTATGGACTCATTAAAAATTTTGGAATGACAAGGGAAACAGTACAGGTTTATGTAACCATATTAGAAGCAATCAAACAGATAAATTGAAATCTCATATCAGATAGTACAGTGACCTTTCCATGTTTTTGTTTTTATAGCTGTTGGACAAACAATGCCAGAGCAACTGGACAGATTCCAGGAAGAATGCCAACAAGCAGCTAAAAATAAGTATGACAAGTAAGTTGACAATGTCCCTAGCAACAACTGTTGTCAAGGCTTGAGATTTTTACTGAGCCCTTCAATCAGATGTAATTTTTAGTCCCAATTCGGACACAGTTCCAAAACGATGACTTATGTTTTGACCTTCATCTCAGACCTGTCTGGTTCAATCACATTCAAACTTCACAAATACATCACATATGTTGGGTGACATATGCATGTCCACTTGTTTTAAAATCAGATTCAAGATGGCCATCTTTGTACTAAAAATGCTTCAAAATCAAGCATTGTGCTGCCATTCCGGAACTGGTTCACAGTTGTGTGTAGACCAATTTTGTTCAAATTTAGTACATTTATTAGCTCCGCTGTCGACTTTGTCGAGCGGAGCTTATCATATGAGTGATTGTCCGTTGGCATCCGTCGTTCGTGTCAATGTTTTACTTTTTCTTGAAAACTACAAGCCTGAATGCTTTAATACTTGGTGTATATGTATCTTGGGTAGACCTCTCTCAGATTTGTTCATTTCATGATGATATCTTCAATTCTCTAATTTTGGTGAATATTTTTGTCATGTTTGGTAAAAAGTGATATTTTTGACTTCTTGTTAAAAACCGCAAGTCCAATTGCTTTGATATTACATATATATGTACTACATGTGGACCTCTCTCAGATTTGTTCATTTTGTAATGATATCTTTAATTCTCTAATTTTAGTGAATATTTTTTTAATTTTTAGTAAAAAGTGATATTTTCGACTTCTTGTTGAAAACCGCAAGTCTGATTGCTTTTATATTACATATATAGGTACTACATGATATCTTCAATTATCTAATTTTGATAATTATTTTTGGTGAAAAGTGATATTTTTGAATCCTGTTGCTTTGATACTATACATATTGTTCATTTTCTAATGATGTCTTCTGTTCTTTAATTGCGATGTGCATTGCTAACAGCAGAGCTATCTCAGCCGACTGGCTGCTTGTTGGACATTATGATGTCTTGATTCACATCATTTTGTTTTTTTCTGTTTGAATTGCCAATTAACTAATCAGAATACTCAATGGAACCAACTTGTTAAAATTACCACAGCTCATTTGAATATGTCAATTACAGTTCAGCAACTTCATTGCAAACAAGACATGGAAGAGATTTGCCACGGAAAACCTGAGTTAGACTCTAATTTATGTGTCAGGAAAGATCAAAATTTTAGAAAAAATAATACTTAAATTAGAGATTTATAAATAATTATAAATAATTCAATACATGTATTGAAAATATAATACATATATTATCAACACATCTATTCAATACAGCAAACGACTTATCAGGCCTAAAATAAATTAATAAATAATCAGCAGAGATCAAGTAAATAGACTGAACACTGAAAACCTTTAGAGAGGCGTGATTTTCCATGTTGACAACTTATCGCTGTTTGAAGGCCTTCTATAAGCATCCTGCTATTTTGTTTCTTCTTGTCATAATACATAATGCTGATTGATGAGCTTGTTTTTTACCTTCTTTTTGCTGTGAAATGCAGGAAAGTGTGTAATTTTGTTTGATTTTTAATTTGCGATGCAACTGTGTATAACACAACTTTTACTCTGAAAAATTTACCATTATTTTGTTTTCCAAAAACTTGACTGTTTTTTTTAATGAGAGATTATAGCCCAAAATATGTGAACATTCGTGTCCAGGGACAGGATTCTATTTCTGTAGTGTTAGGATGCTTCTGCATCCTACATAAACAAAGAAAGTGTTTGAATGTGATGTCAATAACCTGGAATGAGTCAATGTTAGGTTACACCTGGAATGAGTCAATGTTAGTTTACACCTGGAATGAGTCAATGTTGGGTTACACCTGGAATGAGTCAATGTTGGGTTACACCTGGAATGAGTCAATGTTGGGTTACACCTGGAATGAGTCAATGTTGGGTTACACCTGGAATGAGTCAATGTTGGGTTACACCTGGAATGAGTCAAAGCTGGGTTACACCTGGAATGAGTCAATGCTGGGTTACACCTGGAATGAGTCAATGTTGGGTTACACCTGGAATGAGTCAATGTTGGGTTACACCTGGAATGAGTCAATGTTGGGTTACACCTTACAAGTGATGATACAGCTTTTTAAGGAATAGCAGTGCTAGATTTGTGAGACTGATTACTATTCAATGCATTCTCAGAATAATGGAAGATAAAATGAGAGAAGATAGGCTGACAAGTGATGAAGATGAAGACAAAGGAGGAAAGAGAAGCATAGCACCCAGAAAGAAATTCCACTGGACAGATAAAATCAGGCCAGTATTATTTGTCTACGCAAACTGCCATGTGACACATGGTTTTTGTGCAGTGCAGTGTTTAGTTGTTTTGATTGGTCTGCACTTGCACCAATCGGAGAATCGGATTTGAGACATATAAATTGTATGCTATATCACACCACTGTGTTTGGTTTTATCGATCTGCACTCTTCATTGTGAGTTGTGGTCATCACATGATTGGGAGAATCCTACAGGGTGGTGTGCGACACTTTAGACGGCTTTCTTTCCCTGTTTGTTGTGATTTGTGGTATATACATACAAAATAATTTAAGTGTTTGATGCTTTGATTCAATGTACAAAATACACTACCATCTGTTACTGTTTATTGCCTTGATAGTATTGAAGTGGCAGTTACCAACAATTCACATTGTCTGTGTAAGATTTTCTCCAATAATCTTGATATGAACTTCAATCTTGGCAATTTGTGTTATTCTCGCATTATTCAATGATATGTAATGAACATTTTAATCCAATCCAATTATAACATACAGGCAGTTGTTATGCGACGTTGTGGCAATTAAAGTGAAAACCTATGAAATGTCCAAGACGAGATCCCAGTCGGCTGAAGACTACCTCAAAGCCTTTCTTGAAGCTGAAGTAAAGTCATTCTGGCCGCAAGGTTGGATACAGACAAGGTAGACATCTTAACTGCAAAACCTTCAAAACAATGAGTTATTGTAGTCACTGGATGCAATGTATCAGTAACCAGATACTAATATCAAGTAACACTGATATCAAGCCATGTTAATATACAAATTAAGCAGATATGATGTCATGTTGTATGGCAGCCATGTTAATATGCAAATTAAGCAGATATGATGTCATGTTGTATGGCAGCCATGTTATTATGCAAATTGAGCAGATATGATGTCATGTTGTATGGCAGCCATTTTAATATGCAAATTAAGCAGATATGATGTTGTATTTTCTTGGAATACAGTAAGTTAGAAAAAAAACTCTTCAAGAACGTAGAACTGCATTTTCTGTTCTTAAAACACTTAAGATGGGAAGTTGTCATTATTACATAATTAGTTGACACAGCAGCACAGCTGATCATATATCTGATTATCTATCTGATTATCTATCATCAGGCGGCATCAACTTTCCATTTTCAACTTTCAATTAACACAGCAAGTCTGCTTGCTTTGATACTTGGTATATATCTACCTTTGTAATGATAGCTTCATAACTAATTTTGATGAATTTTTTTTGAAATTTTTGGTAAAAAGTGCCTGATTGCCTTAATATATAAACAATTTGGATAGACCTTAGTCAGATTTGTTTATTTTGTGACAATGCCTTCAATTCTCTAATGCTACAAATGGCTTCAACTTCTTCTTGGAAATGGTTAGCCGAATTGGATATGATATTTTATATGCGGTCACCTTGGGTGGACCTCCATCAGTTTTGAGCATTTTGTGACCATATGTTGTATTGCCTAATTTTAGTGAATATTTTTATCATTTTTGGTGAAAAATTTCATTTTCATCTATACATAATAGCTATATCAGCTGACAATAACTCTACTCTCTTATTTCTCTTATAGAATGCTTTTCAAAGAGAGTCGTGCTGCCCATGCCCCCATAACGTTGAGCATTCCTAAAGTTTCTCGACCGCCTGGGCGCCCTCCCAAAAAAGTGGTCACCGTAGTCAAGAAACCCGGAGATGCAACCTCAGATACGAGCAATCCTATTCCCGAATCCAATGCCTTCACAATATTAGATTACGCTGACAATAAATCGTTGAATACAAATGAAGAGTCGCAAGAAAGTGACGATGGAGCTGCCAAGAGGTTTGAAAATTTATTGTCGACTGCAACCACAACTATGAACACTACCACACATGTAAATGCTGGTGTTTTCGGCATTGCTGGTGGAATCGGTTTAGATAGTGTTAAAAAGGAGAAACCTGTTCCTACACTGCTAAAGAAAGAATTTGCCTGTAAAAAGGAGAGCAGCAATCCAAGTGTTGCTCGAAAACTAACGAGTCCTACATTTCACCAAGATTCAAGTTTCCAAGCAATGTTTGAGAAAGTCATTGGCGGGTCAAGTTCTTTCTCATCTTCAGCCATTCTTTCTGCAGCAGCTGATTCAGTTAGTGGCGGCAAAACTGACGTTAATAGAGAGAAGATTTCATTTATGTCATCGTTCTCCTCAAAACAAAATCCGCAAGTGCGCATTTCTCCAATACCAATCTCTACAAATCATAACAGAGAAGCCTTAATGAAAGCATTGACAACTCAGGCTACTATGAAGTCACCTCAGGAACCAAGCATCCCAGTGCCAAGATATTCTCCTGTTAACTCCCATAATGTGAACACATCAGCACAATCAAATTCATCTCAAGGGGAAATGAAGAGTGCATCAGTCAGGATTCCCGCCAAATTGATATCTCCATCGGCTGCCAGCAGAACTCTGTTCACAACGTCTTCAACTTGTCTCGTCTCCTCCTACTCATCAGCTATTACTAATGCAGTAAACAGCAGCATCATGACATCTGCTCAACAAATAAAGAAGTCACCAATTACATCAATTATGCCGATGATTAAAAAGGAACTGAAGAACAATACTGTGTGTATGCCTATGACGATGACCACGAAAACTCACTCTCAGGTGTCGCCGAGACATGTATATTCTATGATGGAGAAACAAAACAATACATATCCTGGAATGCAGTCGGTATCTACAGTTAAACATTCGGTGCCCACAGCAGCTGTCTTCAGTGGGAATGTTACAAAGCCATCAAAACAGACAATGGCCAGTATGAAGCTCTCTGCAGCTAGTTTGAAACAAACAATGCCAGGCATGGTACAGACAGTGGCCAGTATGAAACGGGCAATGCCAAGTATGATTCAGACTGTGTCAAGTGCGAAACAGACAATGCCAAGTGCAAAACAGACAATGCCAAGTGCAAAACAGACAATGCCAACTGTAAAACAGACAATGCCAAGTGCAAAACACAATGTTTCTACTGTGAAACAAACAATGTCTAGTACGACACGCACCGTACCTAATGTGAAACAAACAATGGCCAACATGTTGGCATCTCGGCGATCTCCACCTTCGTCTGTTGCACCCAATTACAATGAGGGGCTAGTTAGTAGGAATCTACCGCCAAGACTGCTGCAGACGTCTCCGGTATCTCAGGGCTCATTGCCTACCACCCAGTCCTTGCAGGGACTGCACTCAACTTCAGCCAGTGGACTCTTAGGAGGTGCCAGCGTAGCAATGTCACCTGGTGCCAATATAGCTGCTGGTTACCAGAGTATCACTCTTGTTGATCTGACAAGAGATCCAAACGGTCTACCGAAGCACCATCCAAACTTCTTATCAAGAGACGCCATTATTACAGGACCAGCCCCAGGTACATACACTCATGGCCAAGGTAAAATGCATAGTTCAATATCACCTTCCCCCTGAGTTTGAACTATCATTTATAACTAGTTGGGTCTCCACAATTGTACTTTTACTGAAGCCAGCATTTCCTTGAAAATAACTCATTGTCTATTTTTGAAATTAAATTTTGATCAAATGTAAGAACATTGTTTTATTTGGTTGTATATGGAAACTCTGCTTCTCTGTAATAGTACTGTCATTTCCCAGTCCCGTGGGTTGGTCCAATACTGTTGGGGATGGTATATCAAGGTATGCAATATTCATACTCAGTTGGGACAGATTTGATCTCATGCTCATTATGCGAAAAAATCACGTTTCTAGAAGGTTTTTTAAGCCAATAATTCAATGCAGAAATTTTGTATACTACCATTATCAGTAGTCATTTCTGCATTTCATTTCAATATGTATGATATAGTGACATTACACAGTGCAATGTCAGAACAAATCAGTCTTATGAAGGAAATGAGATCACTGTCAGTTGTGACGATTGCATACATCTTGTCATGTAATTAAGTTCATGTATGCATGTTTCTATAGTTACGTACATGTTTCTACATTGTATTTCATGCATGGGCAAGCTATCCATGGTTGCAAATGTCGCTGTATTGGGTTGTAGCTGTGTTAGTTATTATGTGGGAGTAGTGTTATAGCATCATCACTTTTCGGTGGTTGGTACACACACTATATACACAAATGAACAAAGTGTACTTTATAATGCAATATATAAAAGGAGATGACTCATAGTGGCACATCGCAGTTACTGGTTTATAGGGGAGGTAAACCATGCTGGCACAGTGCAGTTACTGGTTTATGGTAGAGGTAAACCATGCTGGCACAGTACAGTACTGGTTTATGGTAGAGGTAAACCATGCTGGCCCAGTGCAGTTACAGGTCTATAGTGGAGGTAAACCATGCTGGCACAGTGCAGTACTGGTTTATGGTAGAGGTAAACCATGCTGGCACAGTACAGTACTGGTTTATGGTAGAGGTAAACCATGCTGGCACAGTA